TAATATTAGCAATATATTAGCTAAAACTAATATTATTAAACGTTGGTATTCTAATTTCCTGGATTCAATTTTTCTAAGGATATAGATTAAGAAGGTGGAAATGGAGAAAATACAGTAAAAAGCCAGGAGACCTTCAGAGTGTTATGAAAATCATGACTCATATAGATGAGTCTCTTGCATGAGTGGAGCTTCAGTGTTAATGGAAAATGGAATAAACAAATAATGAATTTAGGGAGAGGGGAGAGGGGAAGGAGGGGAAAAATGAGGAGCTGATACTAAGGGCTCAAGTAGAACGCAAATGTTTTCAGAATGATGCGGGCAACAAATGTACAAATGTGCTTGACACACAATGGATGAATGGATGGCTTGTGACGAGTTGTATAAGCCCCCAATAAAATGACTTTAAAAAAAGATAACGAATTTTTTTCCATTAACTTTTTGAAGCCTCCCTTAAACATAAACCAATTAGGTAGGATTCAATAAGAATTTGGAATTTATTGCTCCAGGTACATAAGTATAAAGTTAAAGTATTCAATAAATTAGATTAGAACACATACAAAGCTCTATTCCAAATGCTCAAATTAGAAAAAGACAAATCATGGGGAGTAAATGAAATTCTGTTTCTCATATCCAGAAAGGCCCTCAATTTGACAAGTCATAAAAAGGTTATTTTTCAAGAATTTCCTCAGAAAACGGGAACTTTGTTTGGTATTCGAATTTGCTGTTATAACAAGTTGAGAAGAAAAAACATGAAGCATGACAACAGGTAGAAGAAGCTAACAGCTGAAAAGTATTAGGAAGCATTCAAACAAGAACAGTTCAGAAAACCACTGTTCCGCCACGGTTGCTCCAGAAGGCCTTAGACCAGTGGTTCTCAACCTGCAGGTCGCGACCCCTTTGGGGGATGAATGACACTTTCACAGGGGTCACCCGATTGATAACAGTAGCAAAATTGTAGTTATGAAGTAGCAACCCAAAAAATGTGATGGTTGGCCAGGGGTAGGGGGATGGGAGGGTGGGGGTTGGGTGTCACCACAACATGACAAAATGCATTAAAGGGTTGCAGCATTAGGAAGGTTGAGAACCACTGGGTTGACCACCACCCCCTAACAGAGAATGGGAATGTTGATGTGCAAAAAATATTGATGTGCAAAACTGAAAAACAAAAACAAACAAACAAAAAAAACCCCCCAAGTTTATATATCTAGCTTACCATGTGGACACAGAATATCTTCATTAAAATTTAATTCGTCTTCCTCTTCTTTTCTCTCTTCTTTTGATTCTTCTAATCAAAAGAAAAACAGATAATAATGTGCTGGCTATTGCATTTAAAGGTCAGAATAACAAAAACTTAATTCTGAATGACGCAACGTGAACAGCTTTCTGAAAACCACCCAAGTGATCCTGACACTGTTCTGAAAAGAGGGTCAAATCTCCTTTGCATTTAAAAGGGGGTAAAAACCCCTCCATTACAGCTTTATTTTTTAAAGAATCAGGTTATACAAGAAAATGTGCCCTTTTTTACTTGGGAAAAAACTCATTTACATATCAATCTATTAATTCTAGTCAGGGTATTCAGAATACTGTATCATAAGCCAAGTTAATCATTTATATGCCATGTCATTTCCGCCTACCTACTCCTTTGATGGGTTGAACAGAAAGTTTTAGAGGCTAATGAAATAAGAATTTAATCTTTAAGGTCAAACAAAATATATTAAGAACTTTTACTTTTCCCAGGCACTTTTCTCCTCCAGTAATTACTTTACCTACTTGTCTCCGCGGTGTCACTGCCCAAGTATACATGCACACCCAGATAATAGTTTTAAAGTATTACTATATATAACACAAATAAAAACATTTGATCATTTTAAAAATTGACTAGAAAAATGAGCAGCAGACATGACCAGATAACTACCCCTCCATACACACAGATAACTTCTCAAATATGTGAAGATGATCAATATCGATTATAATTTTGAAAATATAAACTTCAACACTGGTGAAGTCACTTTTCATCTATCAGACCAGTACAGACTGGTAGCACTGATGTAATCATTATTTTGACAACAACATGCAGAACTAACCACCCGAACAGAGTTTTGAAGGAAATTCACCAATGTGCATGTCGGTAGGTAGCAATTGCACATGAACACAAATCTCTGCTTTGCAATTTCTAGGAATTTATCTTTTAGAAATAATCTTTAAAAGCTGAAGTTTCTCTGTGCTTATGTAGTTATGACAAAAAGCTGAATTATAATACAATAAAATATGAAATGTAGCCATGAAATTAAAAGAATTGTATGTTTTGACAGGAGAAAGATACACAGCTATGCTTTATGTGAGCTTCATTTTATAAAAATGCCCGACAGTAATCATATCTGGTGAGAGGACTTTTTCTACTACACATACTTGTCCTGCTTTATGTTTTAAGAAAATACTTTAAGCTCAATTTGTTGTTGAGAACATAAAACACAGCAAAGCATTCAGCAAAATGAATATTTTATATGCATACATATATATTATATATACACACATTTATGTATCTTGGCTGCCAATATATGGATTAGAAAATTTAGTGAAATAATTGGCCTCGGGTCATTTTGCTGTATCTCTTAATTAATAAAACTAATCATGTTACTAATCTTGACTTTAAATCTAAAAATAATATTGATGCCTTTATTAAAGATATCTTTCTTATAAGCATTGGTGATAAAATTTAGTGGTTTACTGAACAAAATTTTCTATTTGAAAGTACAGCTTTGGACATCAGAAGAAATTTAGAAGCACATATAAACAAAAGGCTACCGAAAAACTGCCTCCCATGACTAAATATTAGAGGTACCTGCTTATTTACTCGATCAAGGCAGCTTTTAAAAGTGCTGCAAAAAATCTAAAACAAAAATAAGGGAAGTTAGAAGATACTATGCAATTTGCAGCAGACTTGCCTTTCTCAAGAATATTAGCCTGGAATGAGATAACAATTAATTATGCGAGTAATTGGCTAGAGAGAACCTGATCCCCAAAACATGCTAAATAATATAGTTATCTAAACATGCTAAGTTATATATAGTTCCACATGTGATTTGATGAGCTCTTGCTAAAATTTCAACAGTTTGAAAATCTGTTCTTTCTCTAAAGACTTAAAAGATTTTTTGGTATAATAAAAAATGTGTCTAAAATTACTATAGGAAAAGTAAATAAATAAAAATGAAATTACTATAGGGGTGAAAATTAAACTAAATGTGCAATAACAAATGCTGACTTTATCTTAACTTACAATCTTAAGCATCTAGATGCCAGTTTAGAGTCATTACCTTTAGTCACGGTGTTGCCATTCACTTTCCCGTTACTTTGATCCACATCACCATCTTGCTCATCGAGTTGCTCGAGTGCTAGTTGGCGCCAACTCCGTAAGGAGGACTTCCCCACCCAAAATGCATCATTGCTGTGAAGCACAGAAATTGTTACATTTGCAGAAAACCGTTTGTGATGTCTTCGTCCTTTCTTTCCTTGTAAAGGACACAACTAAAATGAACTATAAACATTCAAATCAACTGCTTGTGCATAGATTTTTTTTAAAAATCTGCTTCTGTATTGTGAGCAATTTTACTCCTTATTCTCAAAGGCTTTGTTTAGTTGAACTGTAGGTATTTTGTTTCTACCTTCGATCTTATCCTGACTCTGATGCCTCTTTTACATTCATACCAATCAGACCAACCAACCAGTTACTTTCACTGGATTCCATTCACAACTACATACAGGTGTATCTTTATGTGTGCAGATATGTCTATACACAAACATCTGTGGGATAACCAAAAATAGTAAACTAGATTACTCTAAGAATTTGGAAGATAAGGGCAATGAATGTACAAATGTGCTTTACACAATTGATATATGTATGGATTGTGATAGGAATTGTATGAGCCCCTAATAAAACGACTAAAAAAAAAAGAATTTGGAAGATATTCTCTTTAAAATTTAAATTAAACTCAATCTTAATAAATACCATTGTTCAAGATTCTATCGGTCAAAGGGCTTTTCTGACAAACACTTCACTGGGTACCCTTCGGTAACACAAGAGGACCCCCCCCCACCCCCGTGCCTGCCAGGATGTTCTCTAAGGTCGCAGTAATTCCACGCCAGAGCAGAAGCTCAGATTGTCCTTTGGTTTGGGGAAGATTCGGCTTCACATTTTCAGTCTCTCTCTGATGGACAGGACACAATCTCAAAGGCTGTCTGACTTAGCTTTATTTTTGCTGCAGTGGCAATCAATGTAAATTCATTTTTGATCTGGTTCTACAAAATCCACCATTCCTTTCCCCTCTTTCCCATAAATAAGTGACTTGGTTTTTGACTTTTTGAAAGTGCTTATCATAAACAGTACATATTATGAAACATACCCCTTTACAGTTGCTTTTAGCAGATTATTAACAGTTTTGTAATCTTCATTGAGTTGGTTCTTGAGACGTAGCACACGACAACGTTCCACTACACATTCCTTACACAGGGCTTTCACTGGAGTCATGAAGATGAAAGAAAATAATGTATTCACACACTGACTACCTTTTAGGAAAAAAAATGCTTGCTGCACTACAAATAAACACAATTAAACTTTAAACCAGTGATACAAAATTTTACAATACAGAAAATTGTGTATACCACCAAAACAATTTGGTGGTATACACAATTTTCTGTATTGTAATAGTTATTGAGATAGCAATAAAATGTTACAATATGCTAAATCGTCCATACCACAGAATATTATCAAATTGCAGAGTTTAGACACAAATTTTACAAGACTGAAACCAAGCAGGTGAGATGGAAGGGTCTCATGGTGTATCTGACAACCAAATGTGTAATAATAACTGTTTGACAACTTCTTGTGGGTATTGAATATTATAACACTTCAAAGCAAAGAACATTAAAGGAAAAGAAAACATCAAGGGTAAGATTTTAAAACATGAGTTCTAAGCATCATAAAATGTGGTTATCTGAAAGATCTTCCAATTTGAAGGTTACTTGTTCTGAACCAGAAAGAGATATTTAGCACACAAAACTTCGAATGTATACAGGGAAGGCTTGAATCATGCAGTTAAGTGGAACTTTTTATGTAATAAGTTGTACACAATCAAAGAGAAAAAATTCTGAATATAAGAAAGAAGAGAAGGTGGTGGTTATGCAGTTTTGTTTCGCTTCATCTGTGGACTAGAATGGGGCTGTGTTCCAGTTGCATGTTAAGATGGAGTACATTTTCAAGGTGGGCAGGAAGCCAGAGGCAAAGAGACATGGATGTGCACTACAGGGTTATGTAGAAAACGCTATGATGTCAAGCAGCGACTGTCCACTAAGCTAAGCAACAATCTACACATCTCACACTATTATCCATCGCCATGGCAGGGAGACAAATGACTTGTAAATAGCCAGGACCACGGTTCAAGTCTCAAGTCTCACTTTAAGTCATAGAAATGCAAACTTATTACTTTGAAGAGTCAGGATAACCTATACTCTTCTTAAAAGTGCTCCAATTCGACTATTTTTCTGAGAGAAAAAGACCTTTAATGTTCATGATCAGGATTTTTAAAAAAATAACATTATTAAATACACATGTGTAATATTGCTTAACTTCTCATTTACTGAGCCAATCCTTTTTGCAAAGAGTAACAAACATTTAGGCTAGTATATCTTGGAGCAAATAATCATAAAGCCCTGTTCATTAAAGCTCATATAAAAGGGACTTACTGCATTACTCTTTTTTAAACTAAGAAAACATCCCCAAGTTACCAGTTAGTCTTGGACCTCCTCCATATCGACTGTAGAAAATGTCAGCTGCATATTCGGATATTCTCTTCATGATCGAGATTTTGTCCGGATGTAACTTGTCATGGGAGCACAAGCAAGCATGATTATCAATAGGCTTGGTAGGTGTTGATTCATCCAACCACTTCTGCAACCACTCAAGAGAGACAAACTCATAGGGCTCTGGGGAAGGAAGCAACAGAAAAAGCCTATGTATTCTTACTGACTTCCCAACTAAGTGATATGCTCATTGTCCTCAAAAGGTGATGCAAACTCTGACAAAGTTACAGAATCAGAAGGAATCGTTGTGCTGGGAAGATGTGTGATGACTACAACACAAAGCTAGGATGAACTCCTCTTCTGAATTCAAGAATCTGTACATGATAAATACAAGACTGCACAGTGCCCTATGAGATTGGCCGGTATTATTAACCACATTCTACAAAAGAGGCATTCACAGAGAGAAGTGTCTTACTTGATAGCACAGCAGAGCTTTGATCAGGACACCCAAGTTTGCCAATTATAAGCCATGCTCCACATTAGCTCACAAATATAACCTCAACCACATTAAGCTTCACCAATATTATTTTCTTAAGAATATGATCTATATCTGAAGTTGAGACCTCAACCTGACTTCTCATTTTAAGCTATAAATTAACTTCATCCGCTACAATCACACCTCAAAGCACACTTCAACCACTAAATTTTTCATCTAAGATGATATATTGATATTAAAAATGGTATTTCATTCCCTGACCCTAATCAGTATTATAATCTGCTCTCATTGTTATTTATTTCAAGACAGAAACAATTTTAATCAGTTTCCAGGATGAAGCACTTGAAGCACACTAGAACTGAATTATCGATTTTGAAGTTGTGAAAATTAAAAGACAAACTGAATACCTTAAAATGAACATTTAATTCAAGGAAAAGGAGTTCCAGAGTTCCTAAATGCCAAAATTAAAGATAGAGGGACAGCTGTTGATTACTTACAAAGATCTCCAGTGAGTCCCAGCATAAAACATAGAAGAGAACACACAGAGGTTGAATTTATGTTTATGGTATGTACTACTACCAATGAGATCTGAAGGACATACTTCGACTCAAATCCCATTTTCACCAATTTAACACTCTCCTGCGACTACAGCTCTAGAAAACTAACTCCCAGTTTAGTGTAATACATTTCAATTTTCACAAATAAGAAATTTGGAATGGCTAGTCCCCTTATTTGCACTAAAACTGCACATCAGTGGGGATCCTTCCGATTAGTAAGTTCTAACATGGCTGCAGAGGAAGCGCGCAGAACTGCAAGTTGAGATCAAGGTCTAAACCAAGTTCTGCTACCAAGAAACTGAACTTGAGCAAGTCACTCAAACTCTATGTTTTGAGGCTTTGATTTGTAAAATGAAGGTAATAATACCTGCCTTCTACCTACCTCAGGGGGATGTTGCTGAGTGTAAAAGATAAGATATGTGAAGCATTTTGAGCTTTTTGGAAGAAAAGAGATATAGAAAAGTTAATTATACATTCACACAATATATAAAAGTGGAGACCATAAGATGCAGTACAAGTAACATGATGGTGGCTATTTTATGATATATATATATATATATATATATATATATATATAATGGCATGGTCAATTATACTCAATATACTTCCCAATTCTTTTTGTCATTTATTCAGTTTAATCTGCCAAGGATAGAGTATACAGGGTATCATAAGAACTGAACATTGTCAAAGAGAGCAAATTAAACTCTTAGTATACCTAACCTTTTCACAAATGTTGTCACATAAAATTTGTTCACTCTGAAGGCTATCAGGGGTGAGGGGTGAGGGTAGGGGAGAGACAGGACTGTGGCACACACAGCAACATCCAAGAATTCACTAGGGGGCTCAAGTGTCTCCTGCAGCATGGAAGAGATAAATGGAGAACAGTGTCTGCCATTGCTAACTGGAAACATAATCTGTAAGAATCCTGACTCTTACAAAGAAAGGAATTTAGGAATACTATATGTACAATGCACTGCTGGAATTTAGGGCAGCTACAGGCTTGCTATTAGTTGGCACTGACTTGGTGGCAGTGAGCATAAACCATACAATAGCATGGCTCAAAGATACTTAATTCAAGATAAAAATGTTTAACCTCATAATAGAATCCCACAAAAATTTTCCAACTGTAGCTTATTGTACTGGTTTTGAATAGTCTAATATGATTCCATGTAAGACAGAAAGATTAGAAAATCATAAGGTTTTACAGTAAGGAGAGGAAGGAATAGAGTAGAGACTGAGCTTAGATTTCTGATTCAATACAATCCACATCAACACTACAAGTTTTCCAGATTCCTATTTTCAATCAAAACCACTAAAAAAGTTGCATCAATCTCTACTAGGGTTTCTCTCTGAGAATAATGGTCCAGCACTTATCTTACAACTAGGAAAGAATTTACAGTTCAGCATCCAAGTAGTTCTATTTCTTCTCTAGAGAAAACCTTTTGTCAGTCTTTCAGTCTGTCGCCCTGCACTGATGACTGAGTAGACTGAGCACTGCTTTCCAGAGACATGTACAGCTACCACATCGAAGTGAGAACTCGGTCCAATCGGAGATCGTGATAAACAAGGTCAGAAATCCTTTGAGCATTTACCAGAAGAAAACATACTTGGAAATTTTCTATCGGAAAGCTATGTCTAGGACAAGCATTGCATCAACAACATTTGAAATGCTTTCTTATAAAAAATTTAAGCATATTTTTATTTCAATACAAAGGGCTAAACAGCTCGTGGCCCCAGTGAGGTTTACATTTTAAAATAAATGAACCTTGTTCAAATAAGTTCACAATCAAAATAAACTATAGAAGATGTCTAAAAAAGATTCCACTTGGTAGCCCAAAACCATGGTCATTAACTGAGATTTTATAACATTTTAGGACATCATCGACGTTCTACTACGTAAAAGTTTACTGTATATGGAAAAAACTGCCAAACTCATAATGTGTTAAGAATATAGTGAACATATAAACATGTTCTTAGGAATATAAGCGTCGGTTTTTATAGACTGGGAGAAAACGGCCAAGAGAAGCACAGTATGAACTTGACATATAACATCTTTAGATGATGTAATTCTGAAGATTGGTTTGGAACAGCTTTTCATTATAAACCAAGTTCCTCTGATTTGTCCAGTTACATAACACACTGAGGAGAATGTTCACAAAACACCTTTCTAAGTCCCAGTTCCTTTGAGCAAAGATTGAGCAATTTAGAGCTCATTACCAAATTAATTCCAGAAAAACTAGGTCAATTCAGTTCTTTAGGATGGTCTCGACCTTTGGGACTGTTAGAGTAACAGGTTACAATGAAAAGGCAAAACAAAATTACGATGCCATTTAGAGCTTGTAAAAGCTCTTCTTACGGATTTAGCAATTTATATTAATCTTCTGTTCACATATCCAGCAGCAAAGACAAAAGCCACAAGTATAATCATACTTGAGTATTCCTCTCTACCACCACCCTTGAGGAAACTGATAAAAAAGTTGATAAAATGACAAAGATTTGTACCAGTGGATTATCATCTTCACAGAGGTTTTGTTTCTGAGGCACTAAATTAATGTGAGTTAATATCTATAGTAAGGAGATGAGCTGGATTATGTAGGATAATTCTTAGGAAATTAGGAGTCAGCAGAAAATTTCCTTACTCTATCAAATACTTCGGATTAAATTTCAAATCAATCTACTAATAATATTTTAAAAATTGGTATTCGTAATAAAGACATGACTGTAAGGGCACAAAGAAAGATAACGGGCCATTTGTTTTCCAAGTAATCGAATCAGATTATGATTTAAGAACAAATTATCTCCCCAAACAGAAACATCTATAAGGGATGTCTATGAAGAATACTACTATATACAGAGTACTGACCTAAACTTTATAATGTGCTATTGTTTCCCATTTTTAAAAAGTGTATCATGGGGCAGGGGGCAGTGTATCACAATGAATGCTGTATGAAATGCTGCACATCAAACTGCTACTGATTTGCATTGCACCCCTAGAATGCATAAGCAGACGTTAGTGGGCTGTTAAGAAAGAATAGAAAAAAATATCTGTTCCCATACAGTTGTGACCATAAAAAAAAAAGACACTTAATGGCAACAGTGCTGCCCAGAATATCTTACAGACCAGCTCCAGCAGGTAACCTTTGGTACAGCTCCTTAACCTCTTCATGCTTTGCTTTTCCTTTATCCACACTTTGCTTACGCATCTCAGCCATTTCAATACACCACTCTTCAAATTTGGAATTATCCCGATCTACCAGCTCTTGAAGGAAAGCTATTCAAAACAGAAAGAGAAAAAATAATCTTGGTTTTCATTTTTGTACTATTTTTACTTTTTTAAAGTTTTATTGGCATGTAACTCACTATCATAGAATTCAACAGTTCCACCATATTAAAAAGATATGCACACTCATCACATTATCTCTGTATATCTACCGAGCCTCCACTTCATATACAGAAAAAAAAAAAATCATAACAGCAATAACAAAGTAAAACAGTGAAAACTTCAATCAAAAAGGAAACAGAAAATACTAAAACCTAGGTTAATTAAACTTGGTCAAAAGGGAGATCAAGTGATAATAAAGTGTTAAAACTGCATCTTCAAAAATCCACTTTCCAATGCACCCTGGATGAGAGCAAGGCTACTGACTGACATCACTGGTTCATGGTCCCGCGGGTTTCACCGGCGGCTTCATACATGTTATTTGCCTTTTTTTTTTTTTAAACTGAAACAACTTTAAGATGGGTCAAAAGGGAGATCAAATGATAATTATTGTAACCTAAGTACATCAGCCATAATCAACTTTGTAATTGCTCGCCGTCTAAAATCAAGCCTATTCACCCCCCTGGACTACGGCCAGAGGAAATTCACCAGAGGCGTAATCTGTGTGTGGACCCTGCAATCGATTTTGAGCTTCCACTGCCATCCATCTGCAAACCCAATGTTCACAAACGAGCTCTACGACCATTTCCTTCCTTCACGTTTGGATTTTATTATTTGGATCACACAAGCTGGTGTGTTTCTTCCATGAGGACTTGGTTAATGCTTAACTTACATGGCTGCCTGTTTGGAGAAAAGCTTTAAAAACTCCAGACACTATTTTTTCTGATAGCTAGGGGTCATCTAGTTTCTTCACCACACTTTGCTATAGCACCCACATATCTTTAGTGAACTCTTCATGAAGGTAAGAGTTAAGCAGGGCCATGTCATAAGAACGAATTGTTGGGGAAATCTTGGGGGTTTTTTGTATTTTATTTTATTTATTTATTTTAAATCATTTTATTGGGGGCTCATACAACTCCTGTCACAATCCATACATCCATGTCACACACATTTGTAAATTTGTTGCCATCATCATTTTCCCAACATTTTCTTTCTACTTGAGGTCTTGGTATCAGCTTTTCATTTTTCCCCTCCCTCCCTCATGAACCCTTGATAAGTTATAATTTTTTTTCATGTCTTACACTGACTGATGTTTCCCTTCACCCACTTTCTGTTGTCCATCCCCCTAGGAAAGGGTTATATGTAGATCATTGTGATCAGTTTCCCCTTTCTCCCTCCTGGTATTGCTACTCTCAATATTGGTCCTGAGGGGGAAGAATCTTGGTTTTCAAAGAAAACTATGCTAATCTCTAAATTACATTCAATGTTGTCTAAAACCTTGCTAGACAATTCCTGCTGTGGTCTTCTCTTCTCCCACGAGACCTCTACCCTGAAGGCTGGAGTCCAACTGAAAACAGCCAGGCAGCAGCACGAGGTGAGAGTCTAACGTGCACTCCACAGCGTCCAGGGCCACCCAGACTCCTCAAATGGTTGGAAAACACCACTCCAAAATTGAAGAGCACAGAACAGTACGGAGTGAAATTATGTCTCTCAGCTTGAGGTCAGTAAATATTCTTGCAGTCTTGTATTGTATATCCATCCCCAAATCCCAGCCTGTTTATAAGTAAGTGGCATAAATGCATGTAAGCGTTCTCTAAATAAAACAAAATTGATCTTTAGATGTATGTCTTACTGCTATGGCCCTTTTTATTATTATTGTTTACACAATAAGGCCAATTTATGATTAACATCTACTTTTACCAATGATGACTACATGAAATCAACTTATCAATAAAAGAAACCCACTCCCTGTTACTATGTTTTAAATTAAATGTCTGACAGAACTCCGACACCACGGTTACCTGGTACTTGAACAGATGCATTTGGCTTCTCCTGAGTTTGAAGTCTGTAAACCAACATATACGCATTTCGAGAGCAATGAGTTCCTTTGCCACACTTCGGTTTACGTGTCTGGGACTTGGAAGGTTCTGCTGAGGTAGAAAAATCAAAAGCTGATTAGACCAAAATGCTATAGTCTGTTCACTCTTTCCTAGGAGATAAGGAAGAGGAGAAGAGTGCAAAAAACCCACACAAAAAACTTTCTGAAAACGCTCTCTGATACTTTCCAGTAACTTCTAAACATTAAAAGGCCAGGCAAATTTGGTAAGCTTTTAAGATTTTTCAGGTGTTTAAAGTCTACTACCACATTTCATTTTTAAAAGACAGAAACCTTCATGAGGACAAATCTGGAACAAAGCACTATGAATTATTTTTACTGTTAGTTCTAAATTACAAAATAAATTGGGATAATGTAACTAGCCAAAGAAAATAGCATACTCAAAAAAGCATGGGGCGGGTGGGGGGTGGTGGTTAATGGGATATACTTATTTCATTTCTTGAAATAGGCTGTGTAAATATATATAGTATGTTTCCTTTTTAAAAAACATCCTTCCAGATTCTTATCCCTCAAACCTAACTAGTGGTTTGAGCAGCATGGGGGCGGGGGAGTATGATAAGTAAAACTGAAATGGACTTGGAGTCTTTAGTGACAAATTAATTCATGTCAAAGAAAAAGAAAATACCACATGCAGAAGAATGGAATAGAATTCTTTCTAGTGGGCAAATGGATTAGCCATGATCGTAATGAATTCAGTACCAAATAGAAAACATTATTAAGCATTTCAGATCACAAGTATACCAAGACAGTGATCTTCACACTGGGTGTGAGTATCCCAGAATAATGTTCCAAATGTATAAGGTCATGGACCATTCTGATGAGGAAATCAATGACCAGATCTTCAATTCAATATTAATTCTCTAAATTGATTTGAAATGAATTTAATTATATGGTGATATCCTCCTTTCCTTTCATAACCACCTGTCTTTTTACAAAGGAAAGATCTGGAACATTTGTAAAAGGTTGAACAACCAAATGCAAGTCAGTTCATTTAAAAACATCAACTGACAATACAGTATTATAGTTTAAGTTTATAGAGTACTATACATATTTTGGTATATAACTAAGAATTGACACTGCTATTAATAATTCCTTTTTTCTCACCTACAACATATGTAAGCAAATTTCCTCAGTGCTTTCTCTATTAAAAAACAAAACACAGGAATAGAGCAATGCGAACACTTGACTTACTCTAGCATTAATTTACGTACATGAATTAACAAAAATAGTCTCGTCCATTGTATTAAAGTATATTCACAGTAAAAATTTTCCTTTGTACTTCACATACTAAAATTTACACTTAAAAATATAGAAATGTATAATTTAGAAGTATCACATAAGTGGCTAATTATATAGTGATATTTATAATAAAAAAAAAACATTTAGTTCTGAACCTTCCCCACACAATTTAGAGTTTTATATTCACAAAAAAACCATAATATAACCCATTAACTACAATTCTATAGGGTGAGTTAACAGAAACACTAGCATAAGAAAAAATGAAAAAAGATCCTACTAGAAAAGAAGTGTATACCACTGAAAAGGATTAAATATTATTTAGCTATTTAATTTTATTTAAATACTTTTGAAAAATGTCAGTTTCAATATTTATAATATGCTAGAAATTACATTATTTTTGGTTACTTAAATTTATAACAAAAACATTTGACTTCATTAAAAAAATGTGCAAGATATAAAATTGTCCGATATTCTGATAGCAAATGCACAAGTGAGAAAATTTGAAGAACACTGTTACACAAAATTAAACTATCAGGAACTTGTACAAAGAGTGGGTTATTAATTTCTCACTGAAACATATTACAAGTTAAAGCATTTATTCATTACCCCATACAAAGATGGACAATTTAAAGCTACATCCTTATTTTGGACTTGCTACACAAGTCAAAAATACAAGCAAATGTTAAAAATTTGATTATCAGGAGAAAAAGATTATAGAAAGTCTAAAAACAAGTTAATAAGATTAAAAAATATAAAAATTCCTCTAAACTACAGGAAGAATTACAACACAGAACTCATCCATAACCTTGAGGCGAGCCCGCAGTGCCACATTCCTCCCTGTGCTGCCGGCTGTAGCAGCAAAGTGACTGGCGGCTCTGATCTAGTAAGAGCGGTGGTAGGAGGCCACATCTCTTCTCATGCCTTCCCTTCTCTTCAGACCCAGCCCCCACCGCACCTCAAAATGACATACAGGAGAAGACTGAGGAAAAGTTCAGCTGAGACAGCTCTGACTAGATTTATCCATCCTTTGAGGGGAATAAAAGGCTATTTTGGCACCAGATAACAAAGGTGAGTGATGACAGCTGCACTGTAGGATACTATCCATTTCAGGAAATAGTTTCTATGGCAGATCTCACTGCTGCAAAACAGCGGGCAGCTCCCCACAGATGCATACACTCCAGGGAAGGGGTGATCGATGTAACAGGTAAGACAAGGCATTGGCCTCAGAGTGGTTTCAATGCTATCTATATTTATTTGCCAAAAGTAAATGTCCTGACCCAGAGACAAGGACTATGAATCCTATTAGAGTAAGCCCCCATGAGTCATCATTTTCAGCTTCGTCCTCCCCTTACCCCAATTACCCTGGTAATTGAAAGTGAGTCGGCCCCAGCCTTCTGTGCTCTTGTCAATCGGCCATTATTAACAAAAGATGGGCAGACACGTTCTGTGTTTGAGAAATGCAAAAATCCTTCAAAATAGTAACAACCTTGGGCCATAATGATGTATGACAAAGATTTCTGGTTTAAAAGAAGTTATATTTTAAAAGGGCACTCACAACTTAAAGGTTTTACCTAGATCTTCCTCAATCCCTAGTTGCAATTTCTTTCCCTCCATCTTTTCTATGTCTTCGTCATTAAACTTGTACCATTCTCCAGACTGTGGGTCTTTCACGTGGGCAATGTAGTGGCCAGAATAAGCACTCACTCCTCTGTGTATGAGGACTGCACTGAGTTCATACACATAGCCCCCACCTGGAAAAGAAAAACTATATTTTTAATTGGGAATCAATATATATCATTCCATAGTTCAATCACATCAAGCATTGAACAATGAATAAAATAACAAAAAAAAGTGTTAACTGCTACTGCAATCAGTTTCCAAACATTATTTTCCTTCCTAGTCTCCTTGACACCGGCTCTCTTTTATGCCCCCCACCCACCCACCACTGTACCTACCCTGACTCTCAAAACCCCTATTCTACTTGCTGTCCTTATAGATTCATCAATCCTGGGTTTCATATACCAAAGAACAGAAAAACATGTAACCCAAGTTCAAGATGGTGACACACACCCCCACCCCGCCAGTGACATAACACATCTGAGATAAACCCCAATATGAACAAAACAAAACAAGACAGAAAATGCTGAAAACCAGGTCAGGTCCAGCCCTATAAAATGCGTGATGTTATGGTTTAAATGTTCATTTCTGTAGAAGGAAATTGCTATGAACATTGTTGTATTTTATCGTTTAGTCATTTGAATGACTTTTAAGTTCTTACCTGTAGCTCTCTTTCAAGGAGTCCTGGTGGCACAGTACTTATTAGATGGTCTGCCTAATCATAAGGTCAACAGTTGTTAACAGTTGTTAACCACCAGCTGCTTCGAGAGCATTTTATAGGGCATCAAAGGGCTTTTAACCGTTAGAATTGGGTTTATCCCTTTGCTATTCTGCAGTCATCTCTCCAATGTACTCTACTTAGTAACCACTCTCCTCCCATCCCTCTATTATGGACAGAGGGAGTTTAACAGAGACTTATTTCCTGTGTAGTTCCCACAAATGTAACTTGGGCTCCCACTGTCATCCACAGCCTTCTGCAAATCCTATCTAACCTCATAGTGACACTAAAGGACAGGGTAGAACTGCTGTAGGGTTCCAAAGCTGTGATCGATAGGGCAACAGACAGCCATATCTTTCTCCTGCAGTACAGTTGGTGGATTTGAACCGCCAGTCTGTTGGTTAGCAGCAAAGTACTTTAACCACTATGTGGGCAACCAAAAAAAATCAAAACAACAACCCCATGAATGAGTGGATGAGTCAATTACAGCAACCCCACTGGATATAAAAGAATTGCCCCTTTGGGTTTTCAAGGCTATAAAATCCCTATGGGAGCAAAAGGTCTCATTGTTCTCCATTGGAGCACCTGGTGGGTTGGAAACCAAACCAAACACTGTCATTAAGTTAATGCCGACTCATCCACCCTATAGGGCAGGGTAGAACCACCCAGGTGAATTTCTGGGACCGTAACTCTTTATGGAAGTAGAAAGTCCTGGTTCTTTCGCTCTCGAAGCAGCTGGTGGTTAACAACTGTTAACAACTGTTGACCTTATGATTAGGCAGACCATCTAATAAGTACTGTGCCACCAGGACTCCTTGAAAGAGAGCTGCAGGTAAGAACTTAAAAGTCATTCAAATGACTAAACGATAAAATACAACAATGTTCATAGCAATTTCCTTCTACAGAAATGAACATTTAAACCATAACATCACGCATTTTATAGGTTAAATACATATTTAACATGTTCTTCCCATCATATATTTTAAAGGCTTTGTATAAGGCCTATTCTTTTGTAAGCTGCCTCTACCACCTTACTGCATTGAAAAGAGTTTATAAAATAACTTCTACATCCAAGACTCACGCTATACACAAAATAATATTTAAAATGGATCAAGGACCTATGTGTGCCTGCCAACAGTAACATAAAATTCTTAAAAGAAAACGCAGGAGTACAGTAGTTGTGGGAGAATAATAAATTAGCAGATATAATACCAAATGCTCAAAAGCAAAAGTCAAAATATCACAGACGAGACCCCATAGAAATTAAATATTTTTGTACAAAGGAATTGTTTTAAATTAAATTTTATTGGGGGCTTGTATGTTTGTTGCCCTCATCTTTATCAAAACATTTGCTTTCCACTTAAGCCCTTGGTATCAGCTCATTTTTTTTTCACCTCCCTTCCCGCTCCCCTCTCCCTCATGAACCCTTGATAATTTATAAATTATTATTTTGTCATATCTTACACTGTTCGATGTCTCCCTTCACCCACTTTTCTGTTGTCCGTCCCCCAGGTAGGTTATATGTAGATCCTTGTAATCGGTTCCCCCTTTCTACTCCACCTTCCTGCCACCCTCCAGGTATTACACTCTCACCACTGGTCCTGTAGGGGTCATCTGTCCTGCATTCCCTGTGTTTCCAGTTCCTATCTGTACCAGTGTACATCCTTTGGTCTAGCTAGATTTGTAAGGTAAAATTGGGATCACGATAGTGGGGGAAGGAAGCATTTAACAACTAGAGGAAAGTTGTATGTTTCATCATTGCAACCCTGCGCCCTGGCTGCCTCGTCTCCTCCCTGTGACCCTTCTGTTAGGGGGTGTTCAGTTGCCTGCAGATGGGCTTTGGGTCTCCACTCTGCACTCCCCCTCATTTACAATGATATGACATTTTGTTCTTTGATGCCTGACACCTGATCCCTTCAACACCTCGTGGTCACACAGGCTGGTGTCCTTCTTCCATGTGGGCTTTGTTGCTTCTGAGCTAGATGGCCGCTTGTTTATCTTCAAGCCTTTAAGACCCCAGATGCTGTATCTTTTGATAGCCGGGCATCATCAGCTTTTTTCATCACATTTGCTTATGCACACATTTGTCTTCAGTCATCTTGTCAGGAAGGTAGCATCATGGAACGCCAATTTCATAGAACAAAGTGTTCTTGCATTGAGTAAGTACTTGAGTGGAAGTCCAATGTCCATCTGCTGCCTTAATACTAAACCTATAAATATATGCACGTAGATCTATTTCTCCACCATCCTATATAAATATATTTACATATGTACATGCCTGTATTTAGACCTCTATAAATACCCTTTGCCTCCTAGTTCTTTCCTCTATTTCCTTTTACTTTCCTCTTGTCCCACTATCATGGGACAAGAGAAAAGAAAAATGGGGGAAAAAAGCGGGGGCGGGGGCACAGAGAAAAGGCTACTGTATAAAAACACTCTAGGAGTGAGGTCCAGGGAGTATGGCAGGGGCCAGACCAAATCCAGGGGTACATAAGGTAGCCAACTAAAAAGGAGAGGAGCAGGGGAAAGGGAAAAATATATATAGAGAGGGAGATGTGTGGCAGGAGAATTGGGCACTGACCCGCCCAAGGGAAGGGTACGGTTTGTGTCTCCACAGGGAAATAGGGACCAGACTTAAATCCGGTGTTCCGGGATGTGAATGCATCAAAGGACTTTCATCAACCAAAAGACAACAAACAGACTGGGAGAAAAATTATAAAAATTATGTGCCAGATAAGGAGCTAATATCCAAAATATATAAACAACTTCTACCACTTAACAAAAAAAAGAAAAAAAAACCAGAAAGATAAGCAACTGGAACAGATGATATTCAAATGGAAAACAAGCCCACAAAAAGATGCTCATCATCTTTAGACAGAAACGGACTCATGGCAACCCTCTAGGGCAGGGCCAAACTACCCACTGTGGATTTCCAAGACTGTACGTCTGTATGGGAAATGAAAAAATCTGAACATAAAGTGTTGGCTAAGTTATGGGGAAAGTGGAACCATCCTTCATTGCTAATAGGAATGTAAAATGAAGCTGCCATTGTGGGAACGTTTTGCAGTTCCTCAAAATAGCTGAACTATCAGATGACCCAGGCAACCCAATCCTAGGTATGTATACCATCCCCCCACCCCTCAAAAGTGAAGACAGGAAGAAAATAGAAACATGTACATCAATGAATGCTCACGAAGGCACTTTTCTTATCAGCTAAAAGATGCAAAGAAGCAAAATGTCATCAACAGGTGACTAAACAAGCAGCCGAACAATGTAATATTATACAGCCAAGAAAAGAGAACCAATGTTCTTATGCATGCTACAACAGGGATGAATCTTGAATACACTATGCTAAGTGAATTGTCTACTGAGTCACCAAAAAAAAGAATAGCACTTGTCCAAATGAGCAAAAATAAGGTGCCATTTGTTACCAGAGATGAGAAGGAGGTATAAAAGAGAAAATTTGCGCTTGGGGAAGAAACACATTTATGTCCGTAGTGGTGAGAAAGAGTAGGAATAACGGTGGCACAACATGAATGATGTAATCAATGCCATTGAATTGTAAACTGGTGACATATTGGCGTGTGCATTTTTAACACACATTCACATGAATAGCAATAATTTCTATATTTTTATAATTTCACAAAATCCTCATAAAATATAAGGTCAACCTAACAGGAAAGCCCAACAGTCCTTCAGGTCAGGGAAAGAAAACCACAGAGTAAGAAGACACCCATTTCCTCTAGCAAGAACCCTCAATGTGGCCAAATGAACCCACCAAAAGACAAACAGGGTCATTAATTCTCGGTTGAGATAAGGGTACAGAATCTAGGACAATCTCAGTGGACACCGACATAAACAAGGACAGCATACACTTTGCATCAAGTCACCCAACACTTCTGATACAATTTTAAAGAAGGAATAAATAACAAGACTTTCAGAGCCTCAGTTTTCTTGAGGATGCATAGCTCTTAAGGCTAAGGTGACAAGTGAGGGAATAATAAAGTATTCTTTTCATTTTTCAGTCTTTTATACCCTTAACTATATAGTTATTGATAAAAGAATCTTCATTACATGCTTACTCAATGAAAAGGCAACCAGTATTTCAGCACACCTACAAGGCTGGGTTCCCAGAGGTATCACCAGAAAATTAGCAATAAATTGTGATTCTGTAATTACAGCAGCAGCTGTATTGCTAAGGAGATGCAGGGGGACACTGCACTGGATGACATGGAGATAGGGGTGACAAAAAATTAACTCCCTTTAACATTTTTTTCAGTGTTTCAGTAGAAATTTATTAAATAAAGAAATAACGAAATCTCCAGAGTTAGTTATACAACAAAAACATTAAAATTCCACTATCTTTTAATTCCATTTTCTGCAAACTTTTTGAAACCCCTTTGGACCTACACAGCTAAATTAATGCTAATCCACTCTTTGAACCTTCAGAGCTGTCATTATCTCATCACAATCATGCTTCAAACCGCGTGGTTCTACCTGCACTCAGTACTGTGTTTTTGTCACTGTCAGGGTTTTAATAGTCTGGTGTCTCAGGTCCCATATTGGGGAAATTTGTGCTTATGAATCTATGTCAATAACTGCATTGAGAAGCTAGTGGTAATTAAAGGAAAAATTCAAGAAAAATTTTAAAAGGTTCCTACTCCACTTACTACAAGTGTCTTAACAGATAATATTGTAATTCCATGTAGAAAGAATGTAAGAAAGAAATTCGTTGTTAGTATTCATATAATCTAAGAAATTTCATTTAACAAATGAACAAGTTATTTATTCAACAATTCATATACATTTTGTATCATGATAGTGCAATCGCAACAATGTAATAACATTAGTCCCACTTGCTCCCTATCTCCCATTTCCATTTATCCTTCTCTTGCACCTTTCCTGTTTCCCATTTAAACAATTTAGAATATCACCTATTATCCTAGAATTAAAAATGATAAACATTACTAAGGATTCTAATGGTCTAGTACAAGAGCTCCATTGGGGAGGGGGAGACACCAAGACTTACTACATGGGGTAAATCAACTCTAGTGACAGTATTAACCAACAGATCAACAGTTATAATCTCTAAGCATTATAATTCTCATTGCTCAGTAAAAATATTACCTTTATGAAAAAATAAATTACCTTTATGTTCTACATAAGGCTCCATATCCAAAATTTCTGAGAAACCAATGTAGGTATTCAGCTTTTTCTTATGTCCAGTTTGCCTACCCAAAAGGAAATTGTATTATATTTACATTTAAAACAACCATAAAACAATACATGAGCTTATCAGCTATTTTAATCAATTTAACAGTAAAGCAAGGTAGATTTCATTTAGTAATCTTGCTGAAAACACCATAAAAGTAGAAGTAAAAATAATATGGTTGGGAAAAACTAATCATAATAAGTTAAAAGATATGGATTTAAAGTGGTGATTCTAAATACAATGCTTATTTCCAGAAGTTTTCATTTACACACACACACACTCCACACCCCAGAAATTCCTGCTTTACAGAAGGTATGTACATTGGACAGACTTTATAAAACAATACGTTCTCATAGGAGTAAGGGGAGCATTATTATTTTTTGTTTGTTTGTTTTCCCCATTATTTGTGATAAGTAGAAATTTTACTTAAATATACAGTAAATACAGAGCGTCCAAAGATTAATTCCATTTCTACCTAAATAGTTGCTTTATCTTTGCTGTTTATAATAATTTCTTCAAACAAAAATATTAAGGACTTCCTACTTTTTAAATTCTTAATTATAGACACCTGGCTTAAGAATTCTGTGATACCAACCTCAGTATTTGCGCATATTTACCTGTCAAACACAAATCGCATTAGCTGCAAGTTCAGAGTGCAAGGGAGGCTAAGCAGTCTGATCTTCCTTGCTGCATTCTGTTTGCTCTGACAGTTTTCACAAAAGTATCGATTGTCTCCTTCTAATTTTTCCTCCTGGTGAGGAATAAGGCATGTTGGGTTTAAAATAAAAGAAGATGGGACGATTCAAAAAATTTCATTTCATTTAACAATTTTCATCCAGTCATTTAAAAATCAAGGTGTTAAATATAATGGACAGAATGAGCACGCACTACTTAACAGTGACACCACTACTTTGTATACAATGACATTTAAAACTGATCTGCCCCTTCCTCAACTGAAGAACCATATTGATGTAGAAAATGTTTGCATTTCACATATACTAGCTCTCACTAAATGAAAAGGTAAACTAATCCTATAACTGAACTTAGATGTCCTTAAATACTGCACTACCCCAATATAATTTTCACACGCACAAATTTGCATATAAAATAATTTGAAGTAGCTAAAAATTACTTTAATATGCAATCTGCTTCTTACAATTTAATCCAATATTTTTCTTCTAGATCATTACATATAAAGTTTATCAAAGTCATTATGTACACAAGAAACACATCTTATGTAAAAAAAAACTGGAATAATTGATCCACCCATTAAATAAAAATATCAGTCAGGATAGTAATTAACTGTTAATGAGCAAAACATATACACTAAAACTTTAGTACCTTCAAAAATTCCGAGATACAATCTGTTAGCTGCTTGTGGCCTTGGATATTTAATTCCAGTTCATAAAACTTAGATAAAAGTTTAGATTCTCTGCCACACTGGTTGCAACTATGATAAAAAAAAAGTGGTAAAATTAAGATTAGAAAAGGGGAGTATCAATAGACCTATTGTATTAAACCTTAAAAACAACAAAGGGGGTAGGGGAGGAAGAAGAGCTGATACAAAGGGTTTAAAGAGAAAGTAAACATTTAGAAAATAATGATGGGAAACATCTGTCTAAATATGCTTAATACAACAGATGTATGGATTGTTGTAAGAGCTGTAAGAGACCCCCAATAAATTCTTTTAATAATAATTTTTTTAAAACATGAAAGGAAGCATTAGTAACCTTAATTTTTCCACAATTATTTATACTATGTATACTAAAAAATAAGCAAGATACAAAGTAACTGGTGAGACCAAACATGTATTTCATGATTAAGAAATGAATTTCATTTTTTTAAGTTATTTTACATTTATTTTTAGTATTCAATCACACTAACTGGCTTCAGTTTTACTCCTTCAGCTCACATGACCCTGCCATATAATAAATAGCAAGCGCTCAACCAGATAGGTCCAAACACCTAAGTGAGATCAGCAGCAATTATCAAATCAATTGTTTAAAGGTTCCCATAGAAACTTACTACTATAAAGATTTCCTATCCCAGGACAACCCACTAGGGTTGTCCTTACACTGTAAGGCTGAAATACTTACACTGTTACATAAGCATACTCTCCACAGAACTGCTGTTGAACAATGTTCCGCACATCCGGATTCTTTTGTTTAGACAAAGTGTCTTCCAATAGAGACATAAAGAGCTTTGAAAATTCTTGGGCATCCTACAATAAAAGTTTGGACTAGTTTTAAAAAGCTGTGTTTGCTCCTTTCAATTTAACAAACAGGAATACACTAAATATTCCAGTAACCACCTGTACATTGAACTTAGTATTGACAATCAGCTATGACAGACTTTGGCTATGTTGAACAATTTGTGACTACCAATGAATTCTCAGGAACCAGACACCAAGTATAACTACACAAAAGCGTCATGTTGGTTTACTGTTGTTCGGTACTGTCAAATAGCATTCCTTTGTCACAGGGTAAACTGCCCCCGTTTTCTAGGCTATAATTTTATGTGACCCAATCTCCAGGTCTTTCTCTTGCAAAGAAGTCAGATGGGTTTAGACTGACAACTTTTCCGTCAGTAGCCAAATGCTTAACAAATGTATCACTGACCCTCTCCTTTACCAAGCGCGACTGTCAGCTTTCACATGTATCTGATGAAACGGAAGATGCCATGCATGGCTGGGGTGCACCTTAGTCCTCAAAGTGATAGCTTTGCTCTTCGGTGTTTTAAGGAGGTCACATACAGCCAATTTGCCCAACATAATACTTTGATTTCTTGACTGCTGGCATTAACAGCGTTTAATATGGCCCCAAGAAAAATGAAATCCTTGATCTCACCAATCTGTTCTCATTAAGGTTTTCATTGGCGTATATCTTCCTCAGAAGTAGTCTGCCTATTTCTTCTTCTAAGTCTGTTCTTAGTCTGGAAGATCGACTGAAGCCTGTTTATCATAGGTTACTCTACTGTTATTTGAGCTTGTGTGGCACAGCTTCCAGCATCGCAAGCAAAAGGCTTGTGATCACTGTAGGACAAACTGACAAGAGGATAGGTGTGGTAGTTATATAATCTTTTATCAATTTGAGAGGATTAAGAGTGGAGGGGTGGAGTCTAGCCTGTCAATCAGGTGATAGCCAATGGGGCCTCTGTGTGGGCATGGCCTTTTACTGAGGATTTTGGGAACTCGGGTTAGGTGGGAGACTCTCTCCTTTCTCCTTCTCTCCCTCTCCTCTGCCCCTCCTGCCAGCCCATGACCCCTGCCAGCCCGGAGATGTTTACACCACTGGATCCACAAGACTTCCAACCCGCTGGCCTGTGATCTTCCTGCATTCAGCATCATTACATGTGTTTCATGAGTCTGAAGAGGACTTTATAGATTGTATCGGACAAATGGACTTATGGCCCTGATCTGAACTGGGTTGGTGTTTTCTCAATATTCAACTGCTCTTGTACATAAAGCTCTTATACACATGAGTGTCTATGAATTTGTTTTTCTAGTCAACCCAGACTAACACAGTAGGGATCTTGTATATAGGGTCAGCAAAAAAGAATAATTCCACAACAGGATGGATTGGTTGGCACAGTGTCTCCAACAATGGGTTCAACCCTAACAATAATTGTGAGGCTGGTGGAGAACCAGGGAATATTTCATTCTGTTGTACAGTCTCTCGGAGTTGAAAAACACTGGACAGCACCGAACACCAGTGACATATTGAGTTAATCTCTTTGAGATAAGAGATTGTGGGGGGACCTGGAAAAAGCACACCAATCTGTGTGATCACGAGGTGTCGAAGGGATCAGGTACCAGGCATCAGAGAACAAAAAATCATATCATTGTGAATGAGGGGGAGTGCAGATTGGGGACCCAAAGCCCATCTGTAGGTAACTGGACATCACCTTATAGAGGGGTCACAGGGAGAAAACAGGGTGCAGAGTAGCAGCAATGAAACATACAACTTTCCTCTAGTTCCTAAATGTTTCCAGCCCCACCACACCCCCACTATCATGATCCCAATTCTACCTTACAAATCCCGCTAGACCAGAGGATGTACACTAATACAAATAGGAACTTCCAAGGAATCCAGGACAGATGATCCCTTCAGGACCAGTGGTGAGAGTGGCAACACCGGGAGGGTGGAAGGAAGGTGGGGTGGAAAGGGGGAACCAATTACAAGGATCTACATATAATCTCCTCCCTGGGTGATAGACAACAGAAAAGTGTGTGACGGGTGACGTCGGACAGTGTAAGATATGACAAAATAATAATAATTTATAAATTATCAAGGGTACATGAAGGAAGGGGAAATGGGGAGGGAGGGGAAAATGAGGAGCAGATATCAAGGGCTCAAAGTAGAAAACAAATGTTTTGAGAATGATGAGGGCAACAAATGTACAAATGTGCTTGACACAATGGATAGATATATGGACTGTGTTAAGAGTTGTATGAGCCCCCAATTAAATAATTTTTTTTCAAAAGAGAGAGAGATTGTGGGGGGAAGGCAAAGACAAAGGGGAGCTGATATCAAGGAGTTCAAGAAGAAAGTTTTGAAAATGATTGTGGTAGCAACTGTATGATATTGCTTGATATGACTGCATGGTGGAATGTTATGCTATCTGTAAGAACTCGATCAAAAGTTTAAAAAGACAGAGAGGGATTGTGTTTGGGGGCATACGAGAGATCTAGTCCGCTAGATATCAAATCTCCAAGGAATCCAGAAGCAAAAGTTGTAGGGCGAAGGAGCTTCCTCCTTAACCAACAGCAAGCCTTCCCCTAGAGTTAGCACTCTGAATTTGAGCTTTCTCAGCTCAACTGTAATAGTTTATCTCACTGTTAAAGCCACTCCTCTGTGGATTTCTGTCACAGCAGCACTAGATAACTAAGACAATGAGTGTCTTGAGTCAGTCACCAAAAGACAACATTGTATGACTACACTCAGTGAACTATCTTGGATTGGCACGTGTGTAGAGAGTAACATTTATTAAGTGGCCATCAGGGTTGAGAAGGGGAAAGAGGAACTCACTGCTTCGGAGAAACTGAGTTTCTATTAGGGTGATGGGGAATAAGAAACAAGTGGTAGTGATAGTTATTCAACAGTTAATGTCAGTGAACTGTACATGTGCGGAATGTAAAATGGCCAACATTTTGCTACATGTTTACCACCATTTTAAATAAAGTGTTTCATTTCAGTTCATTTAATAAGTATTATAAACACTTGGGTACCTTTTAATATTAAAAAGAAGGGAAAGTCTTACCTGCTGTTGCCCTGTGTCCAATCCCAAAGCCTTGACAAACCCCGATGGGTCAATGTATCGCCTGTTACTGTTTTGCAACAAGGCAAACAAGTACTGGAGATGCTCACAAATGGTCTGGGGCTCATAATCTATCAGAAAAACGTGTTTAAAAGCTGTAAAGTGCCATTTCTTCACATGAGAACATAATTAAACATCCTATATCCAAACTATGTTAGTAATTTATTGTAGCTTTAAAACTCTGAAAGGAACAAATTCCCAAGCATGTCTTGGAAGAAATGATGTCTACATACATGGTATGTGGATCACCAGACCCACAAAAGCAGACCCTTCCTTCCTCACAGCCACAATGTCGATCTGACTACAGTTTCTAGCGCCCGATCACATACTCGTTCCTACTTTAACGTTACCTCTCTAGTGGGCACTTCCCACATATAGAGCAAGCGACAAATCTCAAGCATAGCAACTCACTCGTGTCAAGAACACAATGAAGTACTTTAATTTTAGAGTTGCAGGTTTTAGCTGCCGAGAGTATACAAATCACAAGATCTCACAAGACCTAAAAGGCCCCAATTCGTTTGACTTCCTAGACCAATTATCAATGTACGGCCTCTCAGTTCCTAATTTATGCTCCATGATAATGAAGATGAATTCAAAACAGTTTCCCTGTCAGCTGCTCTAAAGTTGAGTCTTGTTAGACGAATGCACTGGAGAGGCACTGGCAGAGCGGTTTTCTCTTGCAGGTTCAATTGTGCCTCTCACCAGCCGTGGCTGCAGTTTTCTGCACAACACTGTGCCCAGAGAATCCTTCGCTCGTCTTCTGGCAGCTCGACGTGCGAAACCTCAAGTGAGGCTTCTCTTGGTCGTGACCTCCTGAGAACCTTCAGATGATTTTGCAGGGGTCCCAGAGTCCTGCAGGCAGTTTCCAGCAAGTTCCACTAACAAGGCATCTATCTCAGTGCCTTTTCAAGCAGCCTTTGAGCAAAGGCAGTGTTCTTTCTAACAGGGTTGGAGCCCAGGCCTAGCAGTGGACCTGTGGTCTGTCCCTGTAGTGCTTTCTTTCACTCTCAACTGCCCAAGCCACTCCCTCCAGCTGATCTTCTATTCTCTCTCAGTCTAATGCCTCACGACTCTAACTCTCCAGTGTAGCCTTCAGATTACTGTGAAGTTTATGTCTCCTGACCAGATTCTGAATGGCATAGCCATGCACAATGGCACACAATCACCAATTGTGACTTTGAGTAAATCAGCATTTCAAATGTAAAATAAAGATAAAATCTAACTTCTTGGGTTACAAAGGCTTTGCAAGCTGTTAAAAGCTTCTTGGGGAGGTGGGAGCGGGGAGGGAGGGGAAAAATGAGGACCTAATGCCCCCCCCACCCCCACAAGTGGAGAAGAAATGTTTTGAGAATGATGAGGGCAATGAATGTACAAATGCGCTTTACACAATTGATGTATGTATGGATTGTATCTAATGAAATGATTTTTTTAAAAAAACGCTTCTTAGGTAAGTCTATATCTGTTTAAGCTCTCTCATTTTACAGTTCGGAATGTATTATAATTACAAACTTTAAATAACTCATACTCTGCTAGTTTTCCTCTCTCTAAGAGAGGGAACAGCTCTGAGCTGCCAGCAGAACTCAGTTCCCACAGCCCTTCCCCTACATGTGTCATCATGATCAGCTTGAGTTTCAGGCGCACACGTTCAAATCTGGTTAAGAAGAGCAGAGGGAGGGAGGGAGGGAGGGGACTACCAGCATGAACTCATGTCAGAGAATATAGTGAAATACAAAAACTGTATGTGTTTAGAGGGGAGAAACATATTGCTTAGATATACATTAAAGCTACAGTATCCAAAGGTGGCCAAAGTACATAATTTTATAAAATAGAAACTTTGTTATTTTATAATCTTCTCAATAATTTTACACCAGCAAAACTGCTAAGAATGTAAAGTGATTCATCTCAAATCACTCATCTTTACATACCCTGTTACATTATACACTATACAATTAACTTGGACTTATACATTCAGAATTACAAGGATAAAGTTTTGGGGCAACAGTATAGGAATTTTGTGGGGAGGAAGAAAAAAGGAGCTGATATCAAGGGCCACGTAGAAAGCAAATGCTTTGAGAATGAAGGCAACAATTGTACAAATGTGTTTGACACGATGGACGGATGGATAGATGGATGGTGATAAGAACTGTATGAGCCCCAATAAATGATTTTTTTTAAAAGAATTTTGAAACACTTTTAAAACAAAGATGACTACTGAGTAGGGTGAACATTGAGGTGTGACTACTGTCTACAAGATTGCAAGATGCTGTGGAGCTGAAGGAGCAATCTTGTCTCTCTGAAGCCAAAGACAAAAGCCATCAGTCCAAATCAGGTATGAAAAAGACCACATAAGGTTTACAGAGAGGACCAAGAGTCTGAATGTCCACTTTGGAGCTTTCCAGACCTAAATAATCTTAGACACCCACTCTCTTTACTCCCTTCAGCTTTGAGAACGAGAAAAGTTTGATGCCATTCTGTAAAAGCAAGAGGTAGCAATCAACTGCCTTAAAACAACAAACCCTACAGAGCAGTTCTGCTCTGCGTACAGGGCACAGTGTCAGAAATGTTAATGGGCTACATCGGTGTAGTTTTATCATAGGATTCATGAAGTCTCTTCAATTAAGCAAATGTTAAATCTTATATTTAACAGATTTTTATCTATCTCTAGAAATAAATGGATGCTAACGACACATTGCCTAGAGAAATCACAGCTGTGCATCATATAAAATTAATCAAATGGGCTTCCCTCGTTTGAATATTAGCCTTTGGTGCACAAATGAAGCAGTAAGGGGAGACGTCATGACAATAATTGCACAGGCCTTAGCTCTGTACTGGGCACATAGTGAGCATTCCAAAGTCAGTTCGGTCTTATTTGGGGAGTTCACAACTGACCTAGCTTGCAGTGTACCGAGAGGTGAGACACTAACCTTTCTCTTCTTGGATGCCATCGCTCACTATGTAGTCGCTACAAGTACTTGGACATAAGTACAGCGCTTGCCGCAGCTCCAAGTTGAGAAACCACACTTGAAGAAATGTGTTGACATAACACGTGGCTCCAAGGTTAGTCAGGCCCACAAAGGAGTTCTGATAAAAATAGACATTTTCATTATAAAATCAGTATTTCCTGTTCAACAACAATGAAGAATGTATAAAAGACATTATTTGCTTAAATTTTCAGATTAAAAATATGAGTAAAGCTGTCCTGGTGACACAATGGTTAAACACTCAACTGCTAACCAAAAGGTTGCTGGTTGAAACCCATCAGCCACTCCATGAGAAAGATGAGGCTGTCTATATCCCTGAAGATTTAAAGCCAGGGAAACTCGATACAGTATAGGCTTCCTCTGAGTTGGATTTGACTTGACTGCTAGTGGGTTTGGTGTGGTTTTGATAGGACTAGCTTAGCATATACCTGGTTGATGCAAACTGTTATTAAAATCCTTAGACCGTGGGGTGCGACCCCTTTGGGGGTCGAATAACCCTTTCACAGGGGTCGCCTAAGAGCATCGGATGGCCTTAGGAACCGAGAGACCGCTGCTCTATCTGTCTCCAAGTGGGTCAGCCCACATGCAGATACGCCAACCTATGAGGGCCCGGCATGAAGACTGTTACCCATACTACCCCATGCTTCAAGACAAAATTTCATTTATTTGTAATTAGAAATAAATATTTCACAAAATATAATTACATATTGTTTTGTGATTAATCACTATGCTTTAATTATGTTCAACTTGGAACAATGACAATAGATCCTGCATATCATATATTTACATAACAATTCATAACAGTAGCAAAATTACAGTGATGAAGTAGCAACGAAAATAATTTTATGGTTGGGGGGTCACCACAACCCGAGGACCTGCATTAAAGGATCAAAGGATCGGGCATTAGGAAGGTTGAGAACCACTGCCTTAGATCAATATCACCTTTTCTGTGGTATGTTACTGTTACCCACCCTCCTATTATCTAAATCTTTGATCTTACACACCCTGGTTATCAGCATTCCTTCACAAGACCCTCCTGAAGAACAGCCCTTGGCTCCTTCCAGCCTGAAACAGATTGGAGAATGGGTGCAATCCAGACAATGCTGTCCTCCAGCTCACCTGAAGGCAGGAGTCACCGAAAGGGAGCAGTCTCTGGCCCACCCTCCTCTCCAGGAGGATTTTGTAACTGAGATGTGCATCTTTAGAACCTTAGGGAAAACAAGACTCAAAAGCTAGACTTCTGTTTACAGAAGAGGGGTTAAAGGGTAGAAAAGTCAGAATCCTAGAACTCTAAGGGGATAAAAGACCCAGTCCCCCCAGAATGTTGATCATGAGACCCTGCAAGTCTCCTTGTCTGTGCAGACAAGAAAATCCTTTTCTGCTGATCTTGCCCACAGTGTCCCCTTTACTTCAATTGGCCAATAGAGCAGGGCCATGATCTATAGGTTAGGTGGCAATACTAAATATGGTGCTACCTGAAAGGTTAGAAGAGTTCCCCTACAGGCACACTGGAGAAAGGTCTAGAGTTTTGCAGTCACTGAAAAGCCTGTGGAGCACAGCTCTACTCTGACACAATGAAGGATGCTGTGAGTGGGCATTGACTCAATAGAAACTGGTGACGAGCACTTAAGACAGCACCATTATTCACCTTGAACTCAAACCAGCCAATTTCCACTCACAGTGACAGAGTAGAACTGCTTCTCTGGGTTTCCAAGACCAAATCTTTACCAGGAGCAGTCTCCTTTCTCCCACAGATCAGCTGAGGAGATCTTAATCCACCCAGCCTAAAGCCAGCAGCCAATACTAAACCCACTGTGCCATCAAAAAGGTTCATGATCCAATTCCTTATTTCTTAATTTCATTTTTTCCATCTTCAGTCACTTGAAAAAAAATACTAGAGGGACTATGAAAGATCAATTTTGAAATCATGTGTATGTTTTCATTTGTTCTATTTCTAAACTGTCAAGCACTCAGTAGAATAAAGACACTCTAGAAATGTTTCTTTAGTGAATTCATGTTTTACACTTAAAAAAGAATTCAAAAGAAAACATGACATGGTAAAGCAAACATAAAATCAACATTTAAATTAAAATGACTACTTAAAGACTTAAAAAGCTGCCTATTTTAAATCACACCACCAAAGACTATTCCACTTCAAGATAGCTTAGGGTCTTAAGTTCCACCAGTTAGCTTAAAGCTGCATAAATATATGCAGCCAGCAGTGTTTTCTGGTCCTGGGACGCAAACAGGAGCAAGGAACACATACAGTAACCATTTAGAAAGGATGGCTTACCTTTTTTCTCCTCTCGCAGTTGGGATCATCAATGTTATGAAAACTATTTTCATCTATTTCTCCTAACCAAATATGTTCACCAATCCCAACCAAGCAATTCGGGTTTCCTTTGCAGTTTCGCCTATTTTTAAAAGAGGAAAAAGGAAAGAAGAAAATATGTTATTACTGCCTCATTTAAAATTACTGCATAGGCAGCAAAGTGGGGTAAAGAAAGTAGATGGTGCCCAGCTATCAATTGGCATAGTGTTTGGGTCTTAAAGGCTTGTATTCAATCAAACAAGCAGCCATGTAAGCAAGGAGTTAACATGGAAGAAGTTAACAAGAGAAGTTCACACAGAAGTCCACACCAGCAGCCCGCCAACTTGTGTGATCCAAATATGACAATTACAAAATTCAAATATGGTGCAGGTTAAAGTATCCGAGGTAAAATTGTGAACACCCAATTTGTGGAAGGCTGTGGAGGGTAGTGGGAGCCCAAGCCCCATGTGAGATGCTGGCAGACCCCCTCCAGCCACAGCAAGAGTCTGAAACAGCCTTACTTTCAGGCAGAGACCTTGTAATTTTTATTATGCTGGACTGAAGTAGACACTTGGCCAATTGACCTCCCTGTAAACCAGCAGCTCTCAACCTTCCTAATGCCTCGACCCTTTAATACAGTTCCTGATGTTGTGGTGACCTCCACCACCACCACCATAAAATTATTTTCATTGCTACTTCATAACTGTAATGTTGCTACTGTTATGAATCGGGTGACTCCCCAAAAGGGTCGCAAACCCACAGGTTGAGAACTTCTGCTACAGACTGACGTGAATTTGTTCTGGGTGTATCTCTTGTTCCATGACAGAAATTTCTTCCCTGGCTTTTTGAATGTTGATGGGGGTCTTTTCTTTCTCATTATTTGTATTTTCATCTTTATATTATTATTATTTTATCCTTATCACCTTATTTCGATCTTGTTTATTGTTTCTGTTGGGTTTCCCAGTTTGTTAGCACAGGAGTAGATGCATAGTGATAATTCATACAAGGGTTTATAGGAGAATATAGGGGTGAGGATCAGGTGACAGGGAGGGAAAGGGAATTTAGGGAGTAAATAATGAAGGGGGAAGAGGGAGGGTGCACTACAACTGATTGCCATTGCGCAACTCATTTTAAAGACGTTTAAACTGGGGAGTTCTAAAATTGATATGGTGATGATTGTACAATTCTTCTTGATACGATTGAACGATTGAACTATTGAATTGTAAGATATGTATATTATGTGCCAATAAAACTGTTGGAAAAAATACTATATGGACTAGGCATTCAAACCCACCAATCATTCCTTGGGGAAAGATGAGACTGACAGTCTGGAAAACCCTGTACAGGGTTCACTTTGAGTTACTGAGAGTCAGAACTAGTGGCAGTGGGTTTGGTTTGAGTAGTTCTATGATAAAAAGCAGAAAGAATAAACCACTGGTATGACCACTGACAGAGCAGACCCATACATTACAGAGCTGAACTGCCTGCCATGGGCTTTCTCAATACACTCCTTAAAGAAGCATGCTGCCAGGACTGTCTTCTACTGTGACAGCAACCTTTATGTTAATCCAAACACTCACTGCCATCAGAGTGATTTCAACTCAGAGCAGCTCTCTGTAGAGCTCCCAAGACTGTACACCTTACAGAAGCATAGAAGCCTCCTCATTGTCTCACAGAGCAATTGATGGGTTTAAACCACAGACCTGTGGTAAATAGCCCATCATCTAACCCACAAAGCCACCATGGCGGGACCACAGTTCTGAGACAAGGAGCATCCATATTAAAATAACACCAAGATACTAGCTGGAGGCTTGATGGTGCTGTGGTTTAAGCATTAGTCTGTCAACCATAAAGTCAGTGGTTTAAACCCACAGGGTAAAAATGAGGCTGTCTGCTTGCATAAAGATTTACATTCTTAGAAGCCCTAAGGAGTAGTTCTACTCTAGCCCATGTAGGGTTGTTCTGAGTCACAACTGATTTGATGGCAATGGGTTCTATTTTGTTTTTTGGAGATACCATGTTTCACCCCTCGCCATATTACTCACTCAAGGTATCCTCTCATCATACTTATTCAATCCATGTGCTGAGCAAATAATCTGAGAAACTGGATTACATGAAAAAGAATGCAGCATCAGGAATGGGGGTAGGCTTATTAATAACCTAAAATATGCAGATAACATAACCATGCTTGCTGAAAGTGAAGACTTCAAGTACTTGCTGATGATCTTTGATCTTCAAGGATTACAGCAGTCTTCTGTATGGACTAGAACTCAATGAATAGAAAACTAAAGTCCTCACAACTGGAACAATAGGGAACATCATGATAAAATGGCGAAAAGATTCAAGTTGTCAAAAATTCTGTCTGGCTTCGATCCACTATCAGCGCGTGTTGCACTGGGCAAATCTGTTGCACAAGACCTCTTTAGAGTGTTGAAAAGCAGGGTTACTTTGAGGACTGAGGTGTGCCTGCCTCAAGTCATGGTATTTTCAACTACCTCCTACGCATGTGAAAAGCTGGACATTGAATGAGGAAGACTGTCGAAGGCTGCATTTGAAGTGTGGTGCTGTAGCATAATGAAAAGTCCCAGACCTGCTGAAAGGCCAGGCAAATCTGTCTTGGAAGAAGTACAGCCACAGTGCTCCTTAGAGGAAAGGGTGGCCGGACTTCCTCTAACATACTTTGGACATGCTGTCAGGCAAGACCAGTCTCAAAAGAAGGACATCAGGCTGGGTAAAGTGGAGGGGCAGTGAAGAAGAGGAAGGCCCTTAAGGAGGTGGATGGACACTGTGGCTGCAACAAAGGACCCTAGTACAGGAATAATTGTGAGGTTGACCTGGTGCAGGACTGGACAGTGTTTCATTCTCTTGTGCTTTGGGTCAGAACCCACTCAAGGACACAACATGTTTCACCTCTAAGATGAGCAAAACCAAGAAAGTTTAACAGACTTAACTTGAAAGGCTGTGGGGAAACAAGCTTGAGAGTGCTCTGCTGAAGGAATGAATTCGACGGGATTTTATAAAGTGATAAATGACACAGTACCTGCAACAAAGGGTTCACACACACCGACAACTTTGAGAGCACAGGATCAAACAGTGCTGCTTTCTGCCGCACGTGCGATCAGAACTGGCTCACGGCGCCCAACTACAAGGATTTTGGGGGAGGAATTTCACACTGTCCAACAAATCTACTTATGTGGTTACCATTTGACTTAGCAACCTAATAATTTCTGAGAATTTATTCCAAAGAAATGTCTCCCACACTCACTAGGTTAGTCAAGGCAGCACTAAAACACTGTCTAAACACCCTGCTGACTGGTTACAGCCACACTATGAAGTGCTCTGCAATTGTAAAACAAAGACAAATAAAAACATGAGGATGAACTCAATAAAATGATGTGAAGTAATTTCCAGAATATTAAAATTAAAGGGAGGAAGAACACAGTACAAAAAGGTATCTTTTGTGTAAGAAAGTAAGACAATAGGAAAATATATATCATATCATCTGCTCATTTAGGCAAAAAAACACAAAAAAGATAAGCCAAAGGCTAATGACATTGTTTCCCTTAAATGTATGAATGTGAATAAAAGTTTTTGGAAGAGGGGCTAGAGCACTTTTCTGAATGTATTTTTATAAAAACTGCTGACTTTTTAGGGCCAAGTTCATTTCATGTTCTCTCTCTCTCTGTTCTCTCCACCACCACCCCCTCTCTGTTCTCTCTCTCCCCCCCCCCTTCTCTCACACACAAACACACAAATATTATGGGAATTCTAAAATTCAATACAAACAAAAACAAACAAGCCTATTTCCATTGAACAGCCAACCCACACTAAGAAAGTAAGTCAGGGTCACAAGGAAGAGACAAGCTAGTCAGGGTGCAGTATAGCACCGATGAAACATACAGCTTTCCTCTAGTTCTTTCTCCCACCATCACTAGCCACATCATGACCCCAATTCTACTTTAAATATCCGGCTAGACCAGAGCATGTATACTGGTACAGATAAGTACTCACAACACAGGTAATCCAGGACAGACAAACCCCTCAGGACCAATAATGAAAGTAGTGATACCAGGAGAGGAAGGGGAAGGTGGGAGGAGAAAAGGGGAAACGATAACAATAATCTACATATAGTCCCCTCCCAGGGGGATGCACAACAGGAAAGTGGGTGAAGGGAGACAGCGGTTGGTGTGAGACATGAAAAAAAATTATAAATTTATAAATTATCAAGAGTTCATAAATTTATAATTTATAAATTATCAAGAGTTCATGAGGGAGGGAGAGAAAATTGAGGAGCTGATACCAAGGGCTCAAGCAGAAAATGTTTTGAAAATGATGACAACATATGCACAAATGTGCTTGACACAATAAATGTATGTATGGATTGTGATAAAAGCTGTTAGCGCCCCCAGTAAAATGAGAAACAAATGGCAAGTAAAGACACACACATTAATTTTGGAACACAAATATTGGCAAGATCAGTATCCTCAGACTGAAGCCATAAGACACAAATACTGAACTCTGTCCAGTAATCTTCTTTTCCAGCAGCATAGGTTAACAACCTTCTGGGGAATCTACAATTTAACAAATAAATACATATACTGGAGCAGCTCAATCTATAGAAAGATAATTGAAAACTAATCAGTTTGCTAAGGTACATAGAATAACCATGGAAAGAGAAAGGGATGGATTACCACCACTATCCGAAAGAGCTAAAATTTGGGGGAGCAATTAAATATACACACATGCACATAAGAAAAGAAAATCCAATTTCGAGGAAGAAATTTAAAAAAAGAAAACAGAAGAATGAAATGAACTCTAATTACAAGTATAAATCTAAATTCAGGGGTTTGAATTTATTTAAGTAGGCAGACTAAAACAGAAGGTAATGGTTATGTGAATTTTAGACCAATGACACGTTCAGAATAAAAAATTACTTGTGTGGTTTGTCTGAAACTCACCTTGGGGTACCCTGTACTTATTTCTGCTCAATCAGACTTTCGAGCAGTCACATTAAAAGAACCTACCTCAGGGCTGGGCAAGGAAAGTACAAGATGTCTGAACATCTTACTGGGTTCCAAAAAGGATCAATCTCTTTAGAAAAAG